TTGATGGCATTCGTCTTCATGTCATTGAGGAGATAGGTACAAGACTCAAAATGAAGCCTTCTGATTGTTGCAACATCCCCCAAAGTGGGTGTTCCATAAATTGTATCCGCAAGTTTTGTGATCTCTGCATCACTCACCTGATTTTGGGGGGATCCCACAGCAAACGCAAAAGTAGAGAAGGTATTCAGATTCTGTGCCTCTGCCTTCTCTGCCAATCCCACTTGCAACTGTTCACAACGCTTCTTGAAAGCGCTTTCAGAATCCACAAGTGCCATGGTGCAAAACGCGCGAGGTGAAAACACTGCCGTGAAAATGCCTGAAAGAAAATTGTCAACGCTTTCTGTCAAAAAATCCCATAAGTGCAAAGGTTTGACAAGTTGACATGACTCCACAAGTTTGGGAAACAATCTCAAACGCACTGCATGAGCAACATGAGTTCCTAACCACAAGGACTGCTCATTGAGTGCCCGACTATACGGGGCTGATTGAACCGCAAGTTGCACAACGCATGCAAATCACCGCGGTGTGTCCATGATTGACACGACATCCACCGACATGCAGGCAAAACTGCCTGCTGGGAAGAATTGATTGTGTTTTCTTTCCTTTTGACCAACATGATTTGGTCAAACACAGCCATACAGGCCGCGAAAAGAAAAGAAAAAGTGAGTATACAACTCAGCTAAATGACAACGACTACAGAATGATTTCTGCCAGTCAACTCCCTTTTAATACCACACAAGCTGATCAAACGTTACGGCTGCACAAGCCTTGGACCCAGCTTCGTCCTGGCAGCTTTCCAGCACAAGGAACAGCAGGGTGAATCCCATCTGAGCTGCTGAGGCGGTTTGTGTGCCTCACCTTTCTGCCGGCCACACATGAAAACCCTTTGAATAGCCCTCTGCCAGCAAGTGCAGCATCTTCGTCTTGGAGTGCTGGACAAGCGATGTTCCAGCAGGTGCCGATGGACACCTGACCAGTCTGGCCACCCTGCCTTTGTCGCTGGCCCCCTCGTCCAACGATGAGTCTGTGTCACTGTCGGCCGAGCTTGTTGAGTCTGAATCCACTGCCTGCGGTGCAGCATCCACCGTTGCCTCGGCCTCCATTGGCCCCAAGTTGACATCAGCCTCAACCTGATGCACTTTCTCATGCAACTCGACTTTGCAAGCATTTGCAAAACGGCCAGACCTAGATGCATCTGGGAAAAATTTTCCACCCCTAATGCTTTCTAGGACCTGCTCCAGTTCACGCAGTGGTCCCGCCAAACCATCACGACTGTAAGTCAGAACACTCTTCAGATGACTCACATGCCCACCGAGGATTTCCCTTGTTGTAATCCCACAACCAAACTTCGCCATGTAGGATAGCAGGGTGCTCTTGCAAGAATGGGAAGTGATCTTACGACCATCCAGGCTGATGCCGTGCCGCTCCAACAACATCCTGACCCATCGTCCCATTTCATCTGATGAGATTGGTCTCTGAGTTGCTTCTCCATCTGGTCCAGGAGCTGGCATGACAGGGTAGCCATGCAAGATGTCTGCACCAACGCGAGCCCTGACAACAATCCATTGTCGTGCCCAGTTTTCATCTGAAATTCCAACAGCTACTGCAACTGCTGGGAGGAAACCTTCCATCCATGCGTTTGCACGTTTTGTTTTATGTTCACGCACTGTAAACTCAAGGAACTGTGGCTCCCAGCAATCTGGATCGGCCTCCATCTTCTCTGCATGCTGCAAGTCACTCCATCTGCTCCGGCTGTACACAGCACACAGTGTCGCTCCAGCCATAACTCTGTCCCAGATGTCCTGTGACTCACTCTCCAAAATGCTGTGCAACACTTTGAGTTCCTTCACTGCAAACGGGGAAGCTTGCCGACGTGGCCCAGCAACTTCAAACTTGGAGGCCCCTATCACTCTTTTGGACAAAAGCTCAGCTCCAAGCTGTGTCACTCCCAAAACATGCTCCGTGAATCTCAAAGCCTCCACAACAGCCTGTAGCCTGCTAGGTGGGCTGCCTGAATCCCTTTCAATGCAGAAATGTTTGTAAAGCGCCGCTTCATCTCCTGGAAAAAGCAACCCTTGGTCGTCAAGGAAATTCACATATCTCTGCAAAGAGTTGGCCCTTTTGATCAGGGTCAAAGGAGACTTTGTTGCAAAAATATCACGCAGCACTCGCAACTGATCTGAAACTTCAGCCAGCAATGCAATCTGATCTTTGACAGCTATGCCCAAAGGAAAACGCAGCACCAGGTCATACCACCGTTTGATAGCGGTGTCCAGTTTTGCATCTTGGGTTTCCTTCCATGACATGGCATCCACTGAAGAGACAACCTGTTTCCAGTGTTCTGCACCTGCGGTGGTCCTCAGTTTCTTGCTGGGTCCTTCCGCAACTGACTCAACAAGTTCAGGACACGGTGCAAACAAAGGCCTGGTAAAGATGGCCTGCACTGAGTCTGTAGGTCTCGGCTGGTTGCCAAAAATCTGTTTCCAAACACCATTTTCCCAAGGCAGCACAACGTCTGAACGTTTCTCAAGGTTTAACCATTGCTTTTCCAGATCAACCTCTGAGGGCAACTCGACATTGTCCAGGATGACTGGGCATACGTCCAACCTGTCAGGAAATGCCATGGTGCCTCGTACAAAATCAGACTGTAGCTGCAAAACTGAGTCATCCCCGAACAAGTGTTTTGTGGCTGCTGAAACTTCTGAATCGCTGTCCATCACTGCAGTGACAACTCCGCAAGGTCTGTGTAGCAATCTGTGACTTCAACTGCAAATGCAAAACAAGCAGTCCTAAGATTGCCCCTGTCGATGATATCCAAGTAGCAGAAAGTGATCAGATTTGATCTAACACTGCCAAGACTGAAAACAATTGTCAACTGCCAAATGTTGGAATTTTCCCAGCGCCGAAAGTCAGCTTCTGAGGTCACGTCCACTGGGGTCCAGAACACAGGGTAGGAATCACTCATGCAAGCAAAATCCACAACGTGAAAAGAATGCCGAGCAAAAAAGCGCAACTGACAGCACCACACCAATGAATCACCCCTGATGAGTTCTTCACCGGGCCGCCAAGCACTAAACGAAAAGGAATGATTCCCTGTGTTTTGGAGTGGGTATTTTAGCCCACTTGACAGAAAGGCGAGATATAAAATTAATCTCGTGTGTCAATGGAAATCAACGTGTTTGTTTGTATAGTTTGTCAGGTGTTTGACAAAACAAACAACAACCAGGTTTAATAAAAACAAGGTTGATTTTTTCCAACCAGGAAAAAATTGAACAGAGAAAAAGGCATGTGACCTTGGAATGGTTGTTGTAATCATGTTTCAACAAAAGGTTCACTGCCGATGGAGATCAGTCTTGTGATGGACGGACCACAAGGTAGGTTGTACATACAGTACATTAAAATAACTGTTCAATTTGACAGTCAGGTTTTTAGAACCCTTAGATCAAACCCAACAGACGCAGCAGATCCACATGTTTTGCATTACCAATGCAAAACACCATTGACCCCAATAATAATGCAATCATCTTTGTACCAAAGAGGACGTGCATGCGTGTCCGCACCTTCATCAAAAGCTCCTCTGTAAAGGGTGAGGATTGGAGCTTCCCAGTAACCAGCTTGAACGCGTCCAACCTGACATCTTGCAATGCCTCCGAAACCCCATCTTGTAAACATTGAAAAGTCTGTGAGGCCAGCTGCTTCATTTTGAGGCTACGTTTGTGACCTCGTGCCCGTGGATGCCAGCGCGTCGGAGAGCACAAACCAAACCCATCAATAAAATCATGTACTTTGCCATCCCATTCAACTTTGATGGGACTCCCATAGTTGCAACATCTTTCCATGTCAAACTCATCAGCCTCTTCAGTTTCGTTCAGAGTCAAATCGACCACCACCGCATCATCTGCTGTTGATGATTTTTTCTGCTGTCAAACCTGGTGTAGTTGTGGATGAACTTCCTCCACATGCTGAGTTCTTTGCAGTCACCAATGAGGAACTTCCTCCAACTGAGGAACTTCCTCCACCAAGTGAAGCCTTCGCCCCCCCCGGGAGGAACTTCCTCCAGGTGTTGTAAAGTCTGTGTCACTTGTTGAATTGACTGCAGAAAAAGTTTGTCCCTTGTCCTGTTGGTTCTTGCTCCCCCGTCCGAAGGAATGCGCAGCATTAAGAACCAACCCAGCCAGAAATTCACATAAACCAGGTGGATAAGAAGCGCTGGGGCTGGTATTCCACTTGTTTGCAGTTTTACCCAACAGTTTATGTTTATGGACATGGCCACATGACTTAGGCAACGGCCCTTTGTAAGCCCCAATTTTGTCAAAACGCGGTAAGCCAGCATGACATCTCTTGTCATCAGTTGCCAACGTTCCCAAAAATCTCGTTGGCTTGGGAGTGAGTGCGCCAAAGTGGCACTGCTGAATTGCAAACGTAATTGCACCACATGTTGGAATCAAATCCAGAATTTCTATCCACTGCCAAATAGAGCCAGGCCTCTCGTCCTTCACCAGCCCTAAGTCCTCAGGGTGCTCTATGATGAATTTACCACCTGCAGAATGGCACACCAAACAAGCCCTGATGCATCTGTCAACAAATAAATTTGCTTCTTCCACCACTGCACGATGGTGTTGAGAAAGCCATGGAAAACCTCGAAGCCAATTGAAGTTTCTCAAAGGCCTAGGCCCTGGCCAATCTTGAAAGTGAAACCATGCCCGTGAAAAAGTATTGCACGGAGGGGAAACTATCAACGTCCAACCACCCTCTGCAAGGGTAGCCCATATGTCTTCCCAAATGGACAAGTCAGTTAGATCATGATCTGGTGAAAGCTCCAAATCGTACTCCTTCAGAGTCAAATTGATGCGACCCTCATCATGGGCCTGCTGTAAAAAGGAAGCCACATCAGATTGTCGCCCTTTCCCAGCAAACAAATACATCACTTTCACTTCGGGAGGTGATGCCGAATCTGGGTGTGAACCAATGCCAGGTTTTTCAGTCTCACACCCAACATGTCAATTGCTACCCTTCGCCTTCTCCCTGTGCTGAATTGCGGGGTGGTCCCCATAACAACCTTTCACCCTGCATTGATGAACCCTGTTGCAGCTGTTGTCACATGATCCAGAGTTGTACGCAAAGCAGAGGTCACGGCCATCTGGTGTGCGCCATGCCAGTTGTAAACCTGCCAAGCGCTTGGATTTGCCAGTCTTGCCTTTCCCTTTGGGATTCTGACTTCCAGTCTTGCCGAAGGACCCAAAAGAAGAACCAGAACCCTTGTTGTTGAACCTCGCCCACTTGTTTTGAGGCTGTTCTGAGGCTGCAGCACGTAGTGCCACTGGCGTAGTGAAAAATGCCTCCTTGAGATCTGCATCCTTTGTAACTGCCCGCAATGCATGCGCCAAGGTAAAACCCTCGTGCATCACTAAACGCATTGCCTCCTTTCTCAGTTTATGTTCGAAAGAAAGGACAATCGCCCAGTCAGGTTTGACTTTCTGTTGGGAACCATCCGACGTCGGAATCTGAATCCCCAAAACTCTTTCTCCCAAAATAAAATCAACAAACTTGTTGAAGTCTGATGCCTCCAATCCATGAAGCCAGTTCTTCGCCCTGTATCTGGCCGACATGCACAGCCAAGAAAACATCTCAACACGCATGATCTTCCTGTAATCTTCTGTGTTGGCAGGCATCTTGGCTTTGCACTTAGTTCTAGTCACTCTCAAATGACCTGAAGAATCCACTGACGACTGAATCTGTGAATTCGCCGTGTCTCTTTTGCTAATAATTTCATCCAAGGGTGAGGCCGTAGGCTCGTTCATCTCCACCTCCTCCGCTTTCAAAGCTAAGTAATCCGCACTAGGAGTCTCAGCTTCCCCAAGGTGTCCATGAATCCTTTCAACAGCACGAATCATGGATTGTCTTTCATGTGACTGTAAAATCTTTGGCTGACCCAAGACCTTTGCTTCAGCACGTAATTCAACCTCCTTTGCAACAAACTCCTTTGCCGTTTCCCAAGCCGCCACAATGGCTGCAACCTCAGCCCTGTTTTCAGGTGTGTCCTGGCCAACAGCAAAGTCTTGCAAACACGCTGTGCGGATCTGAGCCCGCTCATCACCAATGGCATTGAATTTCCTCAGCGTACCATAACGCCTGGCAATTGCAGCTTGTCTCCTTAGAGAAACGCCTGTCTCACTCAGTATGAACTGCAAATCTGCGTCCATGTTCTGTGCAATGAAATCCCTATCAGCTTCATCAGGGTCCACTGCCATCGCTTCAAACGGAAGACGGTGAGCAAACCCTAATTCGAAGTGAAGAAACTTCCAATGCAATGCAACACAAGAGAGGTGGCACCCTTAGGTCTTAGCCACTGCAAAATTTTAAACTAACAGAGAAAGATTCCACTCCGACACGAATCTGAGAAGTGAACAAAAATTGGCACCCTAAGGTCTGACCCAACAAAGAACTGTTTGACAAAACTGCCTGTGATCTGAATCACAACCCTGAGGTCTGAAGCCGAAAAATTCACAAATACATCACAACAGCCTGGCAACTCAAACACCGGACAAATTGAGAGAGTACTGAACTCACATCATGAACTGTGGATGCCACAGCCGAACCACTCTATTTTTAGGCTGCCCCAACGTCTCAAATTAGAGAAGTTGACTGAAGGACCAACCTGAGTGAAACGAGCAAATGAAACAAGCAACCAAGGAGAACTTAATCCTCCACGCTGGCAGTCGAAGAGGAAGACGCCGTTGAGCTAGACTCAGGGTTCTCCTCTTTACCATTTTCAAGAAGCATCTTGCGCTTACATGCCCTGCAAATTGAATCAAAGTCATCGTTGTCAACATTGTGCAACATCCGAACTTCAGTGCAGTTTGAAGGCTTGACAAAACAACCTGTGAGGTGGAGCCGCCGAAACGATGTGCGCCGTGAGATGGTGACAAAGAACTTGGACGGCTGCTTCTCAGCAGCCTCGTGCTTCGACTTCTGATCTATGATGCTGGATGCCAAAGTTGATTCATCAACTTCATTCCCATCCACCTCGAACCAATCTTCTGGCGTCACGTCCAGAGTGGGGTATGTGCCCCCAAGACAAGACTTGCCAGTCAGCGATGAAGTCACAGCATGTCTCTTCCTGATCCGGTTGGGGTTTGCCCCAGCATTCTCTGCAGCTTTGCAAAGGCGCTCAATGGCCTCATCCTCAAAATACTCATGATCAAACCCAGTGACAATTGATCGATTGACTGCACGCTGTATTGTAAACACAACTTGCCTTGAAGTTCGAACGTATTATTTTTGGGCACAATGGACGTGGACAGCTTAAAGGTTACTTATTGTGAAGTAAGAAAGGGGAGACAAGGAGATAGAATAAACGCAATACGCGAGGAACAAGGTTATATATATAACCACGCGCACGCGATACGTCGAAAACGCAAAGGAACATGTTCGAAAAAACGAAATGCCAATTCAGAAAAACTACATCACTGCAACAACAGATGACATGGTGGCTTCAGCTGAGAAAAATTGCAAGAGTGGCGCACTCACCTTTTTGTCCAAAAGATTGCTCATGTCAACTGGGGAAAGTTTTGGATCGGACACGCTATCCGACTGGTGTATGCAAAAGGATTTTGGTCAGCTTGATTGGTTTCATGCTTCCAATCCAGACCAAAGTTTTCCTTTGTTAGTTTCCAGACTGCCTCTTGCTTGCAGCTCCTACGACATACCCCACTGTGACAACCGAGCTGGAAGGACAATGGAGGGCTTTGGAACACCCAGGAGCCACGGGGTGTTAAACACCAGTCGAGAGGCATCATCTGCCGGGTTACTGGCGCTAGGAACTCTTGAGAACCAAGGAAGGATACCGGTATCCTTTTCAAGCTTTACAAACTCAGCTATAATGACTTGCGACAACTCAGTCGATCCATCGGCTCGGATCAAAGCGCTTCTTGCTGCATCGTTGTCCAAGTAGAATACTACCTGAGAATTACTTAATTGTTTTTTCCAGGTTCGGAGGGCAACCAAGACAGGAAAGATCTCTAGTTCATAGATTGGGTGCTGGCTCTTGGCCAGAAACTCCTCTCGTAAACTGTCTTCAATCTCCAGCCCAAAGCACTCAACCACCAAGCCATTCTCATTCACTAAGACACCACCAATTGATGCTTTAACTTTCCCATCTGGTTCATAAGCACCGTCAGTGAAAATCATCCAAGTTTTTGAGATTGCCTCGTGCACAAGGACAGGCTCATCCTTCGCAAGCTCAGCTCGGAGGACCACGAGAGCATCCCTCAGAGTTCCATGCACTTTCACCATAGTTGAAGAGGATATAGAAAACTTTGAAATCACACCTACCGCTGCTTTCAGGGTGCGACCGAAGACAAAGGCGTTGAACCAAACAAGACGTCCATGCAACCTTTCAAGTTCTTTGGCGCTGACCAAAGTGTCACGTCCTTCGATCATAGTCTCAATCTGTTCAAGCAATTCTCGTCTTCTCGAGTCGGTGTGGCCCAAGGTGAAGTATCCTTCGTCAACTTTGTTCAGGTCAAATTGCAAACCCAAGGATTTGAAAACCTGATTAAAAGGCGGGGCCTTGTCGCCCTCTGACGCAAAGTCAATTCCCAACAACCTGAACAATGCCTCGACATAGAACTGAGTGTTGTCTGACAGTGACATCGGCGACACTGCAGTGAAGTCGTCGAAAAAGCTCGACCAACATATATGAAGTCCATTGGTGCCAATAAAGGCTAAGGATGCCGCCACTCGCAGGAAAGCAACCACACTGCCCGTGGCTCCAAAGGGTAAAGCCAAGACATCAAAGAAACGTACTGCGTCAGGCCCAGCTTTCAATGCTATTTTCAAGCGTTTGGTGTCTTCCTCGCTGACCCCAAATTGTTTGTACGCCGCCTTCAAGTCGAATGTGCGGCCGACCCATGGCAGTCTCATGGGGCCACGGCCCGAACGCATCATCGCCAACAAGATGGCCACAACCTGGTCAACTGATTCAACCCTAAGCTTCTCAGGCAAGCCAACTGTGGAATTGACACCACATACCGAGAAGTCATCAATCAACCTCATCTTGCTTTTTTGTTGAATTGGGAAGCGTTTTGCGATGAACTGACCCTTCAAGTCAACATCTTTGCATTCAGCCAACCAACCTTTGTCAACCTCGGCAACTGTCTCTTCCAAGGCATCTGCATCCAAGGGAGTCCAAGGTCCTTTCATCAAAGCTCCCACAACTGCAGAGTTTAAACCAAGCGCAATACCCTCCAATTGTTGAACCGTCATCGAGGCTGCTCTGACATGTTTGTCGAACACACCAGTTGCATGTGCCCATCCTGTCAAAGAAAAACCTTCTATGATGTCGTCCACAATCCTTGCATCACCATAGCCCAAACTGACCAGGATGTGCTTCCACAAGAGTAACTTTTTGCGACAAAGGATTTTTTGCAAGTGTTGAGGGAGCTTGTTATGCAAGGCGCTCTCTTCTGATTTCAGCTCTGCTGCTTTTTTCAGCCAACCTTTGAACACTGCCGCCCTGTGCGCAAGGAGCTGGTGTTGTGGCCATTCAAGGTTTGCCTTAATTGCTTGATCCACATCCACTGAAGTCCTGACCAAATGACCTCGAGGATGTCCCACCAACCGGGCTGCTTCCAGGAACTCAGTTGGAGTTCTGGGGACGCCAACCATGACCACTTCGTAGTCTTGCCCATGCTTCAAGTCTTTATGCACAATGACTTTGCCATGGTTATTTGCTTTGAAGACATCCCTGGAGAACCCCCGCTGAACTGTACGGGATGTGGGCTTGGAGCCCTTTTCCAAAGAAGCTATGATTGTATGCAGATTATCGCAGTTAATGGGGATTGCAACTGCAACAAAATGACCAAACTCTGACACCGGCTGCAAGATGGTCTTGGTCCTGGGTTGGCCAGTGAACAACTGTCGTTTGCCTGCGTCAGAATCTGCTGTTGTTTGCTCCACCAAATCTTTGGGTCCCTCAAGGTTTCTAACCCTTGCCCAGTACAAGAAAATTGATGCCAACCGCTCGCACAACGTGGTTGGATATGCAGCTTCTTCCTTTGTGGGAAATGAGACCACGCCATCTACAATAGATGGTTTCCAAGACTTATGTGTGTGGCTTCCATCGCATTTCAAGGCCAGTGATTCAAGCATGTTTTCAGATGGCCTCCATGGATTGTACGACCAAAACCGAGAGGCTTTGTCACGTGCACCACCATGCATGCAATGGTCTAAAAAAGTGTCATGGCCATCATGAAAACGCTGCAGAAGCTTTTGTATCCAGCTGGTCTTCCAAAAAAGTGAATTTGCAGGATTCTCGATAGAAATTGAAATATTCCACCCAAGTAAAAGTGACAAGAGGTCTGCAGTAGCCTTGTACGAAGCATTTGCACTGTCAACTCGGGCCTGTTCCTTCTCTGAAAGGTTCGGCAAACCATCTGGATAATCATCACTGCGCAAGGGTTGAGGTTGCAAATGCAATGGCATACCTGGCACCTTTCTTCCACGGGCTCTGGATGCTGTGCCACAACTGGGTGCACAATGTGCGTGTATTATGGATTCCCTCTCTGCATGCAAAACTTCAACCAAAGTGCTGTACTGCTGTGGATCCGACAAGTCATAATTTGCCACCGCACAGCTCTCCGCACGCTTTGGGTCCTTGTCTATTGGCAAGGCTCGTAGTCCAAGTTTCCGGCAGGCTTTACTGAGTCTGCAGGATCCAGAAAAAATTTCAACAACCAAACCAACATCCTCATGCCGTCTGCAGTTGACTGAATTTGGAGAAAGGTCGGGGTTACTTGCGCCCCCTGTACATTCACTCTCAAAACTGGCGCCTGATGCATTGCTGTTGTCACCACCAAGAGGCGCACTTGTGATGACTTCTTCAACCTGTCAAGATCCTGCATTAGAATGGCAAGCTGCAGCTCCATGCTTCGGTTTGAGGCAGCGCATGCATGTATGGAAACCGAACTTGCACCGTCCGTTCTTGATCTGGTTGTTGCATCCCTTACTCAAATTAAAATGCCAACACATTGGTTTTCCATCGGCAGTTCTGAGCTTGAGGCCCTTGAGTTCGTCTGGGATCTTTGCTGGCTCACGGTCATTGAAGCGAGGCTTCTTCGGTGGTTGCCCTCTTGGACCACCGCCAGTCGATTCATTTTCACGTTTGGTTCCCTTCAGCTGCGGGTTTTGAACTGGTTGATGAATGCGGGGCATTGCAATGAGATGCACATTGACTCTTGGATCATGCATCAAACGCGTGAAAATATCATCCAAAGGCGGGGCCTTTCCTTTGTCTGCAATGAGACTGCCACTGTATTCTGAGGCCATGAGCGTAAAAATCTCCCTGTCTGCTTTCAAAATTTGGGTGAGGCCCAGGCTCGATGCCGCATGCGGTGGTTCCTGAATCAGGGAACCCATCAACTTGTCCAACCACACCTGACACGGCTGCCAAGACAATAAGTGCACAATCTCAAATGCCAGATGTCTGCGTTGCAATGCAAAAAACAAACGCAACTCTGTGGAAGTGTCCACGTCCGACATGGAGCTCGCGGTCGCCGACTTCAAGGATCCCTGTTCTAGGGTGATGATTTGCTTTGACTTCTGTTTGGACTCCGCCTGAATCTCCATTTCACGTGAATGACACTTTGACGGCCCAATGTAAGTGAGGGCTCCCGTCTCTACAATATGGAAAGCCAAATCGATGAGGCTATGAGCAGGCTGTTGATCTGGCTTGTGAAGCAACCCTGTGATCCTCTTTTTCTGTGCCTCAAGTCTCGTTTGTTTTTCTACGAAAGGCAGTTCCTTCAGAGGCTCCGACGAATCTGTGTTCAGGGCGTTCGTCTTCATGTCATTGAGAAGATACGTGCATGACTCAAAGTGCAATCTTCTAATAGTTGCTACATCACCCAAACTTGGTGTACCATAAATTGATTCAGCAAGCTTCGTGATCTCTGCATCTGAAACTTGGTTCTGTGGAGACCCAACTGAAAATGCAAACGTTGAAAAAGTCGTCAAACTTTGTGCCTCGGTTTTGTCGGCGAGGCCAGCCTGCAACTGGTCACAACGCTTCCTGAAAGCGCTCTCTGAATCCACCAGGGCCATGTCGCCAGGTTCCAGGGTGCTGAAATAAAAACTCAGTTCCAAATGGTTGCATGACAGTTTTCAAATGTCACGTTGTGCAAAAAACAAAAACGGAGTTTGGCCACTTGAGATTTAATGCAAACGTTCAAGAACACATAAACGCGAAATGGATGGTAAACATCTAGTTCCAGGCTATCTTGTGCTCATTTGTGCAATGTCTTTGACAAACATTTCATGGCTGTACATGTTTCCACCAAATGATGGAGCCTCGAGCACAGAGCAACGAACATGCTCTCTCAAGCGGTGTACAACCACTGACCCTCTGAGGATTGAGGATACGAAGGAAACAATACGTGTCTCCAAAAAAGTTTGCAAGACCTGACATGTTTGGTCTTTGATATTGATGGTCACACAGACCTTTTGTGAAACATGCTTTTCAACACCCACAGCAAGACATGCTGCAGACCAACTCTTTTATACCAGCGGACAGCTGACGCTCAGTTTCAAGGCTGCACAAGCCTGGAGTCCAACTTTGTCCGGGCCGCTTTCCAGCAAAGGGAACAGCAAGGGGAGTCCCACCTGACCTGCACCGGCGGCTTGTGAGCGTTCCCTTTTTGTCGGCCACACATGAAAATCTTCTGATATCCTTCAGCCAGCAAGTGCAACATCTTTGATTTTTCATGTTGTATCAACGTGGTGCCAGCTGGAGCGGTCGGGCATCTCACCAACCTGGCAGCCCGCCCAACATTGCTTGCCTCCTCATCAGAAGAAGAGTCTGCGTCGCTGTCTCCATCAGTGCTTGAGTCAGAATCCACAGCCAGGGTTTCTTTTGGTCGGTCTGCAACTGCGCCGACATCGACAACCCCATCAAGCGCCACTTGTCCAGCTACTTCACAATCTTCGATTTTGCAAACGTCATTGAACCTTCCAGACCTGGATGCGTCTGGACAAAACTTGTTTTGTCTGATCGACAGCAGCACCTTCTCCAACTCACGCAGCGGTCCAGCCAAGCCATCCCTGCTGTAAGTCAGGACACTCTTGAGGTGACTCACATGTCCTCCCAAGATCTCTCTTGTTGTGATGTCGCATCCAAACTTCGCCATGTACGAGAGCATGGTGCTCTTGCATGAGTGTGACGTTATTTTTCTGCCAGTCAAGTCGGCCCCATGCCTTTCAAGCAACATTCTGACCCACTTCCCCATCTCATCTGAGGTTATGGGACGCTTTGTAGGTTGATGATCACCACCAGGGGCAGGCATGACTGGGAAACCTGCAGAAATTTCTCCACCAATGCAATCTCTCACAACAAGCCAAGTTCTGCCCCAGTTGTCCGAGGTGACGCCATGTGCAACTGCAACGGCTGGCAAGAAGCCTTCTACCCATGCGTTTGCTCTCTTCGTCTTGTGTTCTTTGACAGTGAACTCAATGAAGCAAGGGTCCCATTGATTTGGATCTGATAACATGGCTTCCGAGTGTTGTAAATCGCTCCAACGACTCCTACTGTAAACTGCACACAGTGTTGCACCTGCCATCATTCTGTCCCATAGGTCCTCGTCCTCTGACACCAGGACGTTGTGCAGGATCCTGAGTTCCTTCACGGTGAAGGGGGAAGCCTGTCTTCTGGGTCCACTTGACCGGAACTTCGAGGCCCCCAAAACCCTTTTGGAAAGAAGTTCAGCGCTGAGTTGTGACACTCCTAGCACATGCTCTGTAAACCTCAATGCCTCCACAACTGCTTGCAAACGACTTGAAGGGCTCCCTGACTCTCTCTCCGAGCAAAAATGTCGGTACAACGCATCCTCATCTCCAGGGAACAACATTCCTTGACCGTCCAAAAAATTAATGTCTCGCTGAAGTGAGTTTGCCCTCTTGATGAGAGTCAGTGGTGCCTTTGTGGCAAATACGTCCCTCAGAACCCTCAACTGGTCAGGAACGTCTGCCAGCAACGACATTTGATCTTTGATTCCAATGCCAAGAGGAAAACGCAGCACAATGTCATACCATCTCTTCATTGCAGTGTCCAGTTTGGCTTCTTGAGATTCTGTCCAAGAAACTTCATCAACATTTGTGACAACTTGTTGCCAATGATTTGCAAAAGACGACAGCCTGAGTTTCTTGCTGGGCATCTCGACATCTGCCACTGTCGCTGTCGGGCAAGCTGCAAAAACAGGTCTCAAAAATTGCGGACCATTCGAACTTGTGGGTTTGAGAGAGCTGTCAAAAATCTGTTTCCAAACTCCTTTTTCCCAGGGCAGTTCAATGTCCACTTTCCTGTCAAGATTCAACCACAATTTTTCAATGGTAACATCTGAGGGCAGCTCCACATGGTCCACAACAACCTGACACTCCTCCATCCTACCAGAGTCGCCAAACCGGTCTGCACTGAAGTCAACATGCAAATCCAAAACCGCACCATCCCCCCCAAAAAGATGTTTTGGAGTTGAGGGCGAAGCTTCTGAGGGGCTGTCCATTAGGCCAGGGCCAACTCGGCACGGTCCCTGTAACAATCGGAGATCTCCACTGCAAAGGCGAAGCAAGTGACACGCAACCTACCTCTGTCAGACTGATCCAGGAACAAAAATGTAATAAGATTTGACCTTACACTGCCGAGACTGAAAACCACTGTACGCTGCCAAATGTCTGAGGTTTCCCAACGTTCAAAGTCCTGTTCTGAGGTCACGTCAAAATGGGTCCAATGTACAGGGAATTGATTGCTCATGCAAGCAACAGCCAAATGATGAATGCAGCACCAGCCAAAAAGGCACAACTGATGACACTCACAAAATGAACCACTGTAACAGGGCTCTTGACCGGGCCACCAAGCACGACGGGGCTAGCAAAAGCAACACGGCCCCTACGACGCATTCAAAAATCAAATGGCTTCCCTGATTGTCAAAGTGGAAACTTTTGTCCACTTGAAGGAGAGGCGTGGACATAAATTGAATTACAGATTTAATGAAACAAGTTCCCCATGTTTGAACTTTCTTTGAAAATTTGACAACAATGAAATTGAGAGTCAAGTTTCATCACAGTACACGTTCGACAGGTTCTGTGAATAAAAAGGGTGAACCAAAAAATTGGCAGCACAAAAGAAACGCACAGTTTCAGGTTCGATTGTTTTTGTTGGACATGTTTCCAAAAACAGGTAAAGTAAGTGCATACAGCACTTAAGGTCTCATTGTTTCTTTCAGACTTCACTTAAAAGGTTTGCAGCAGTTCCACTTGTTTTGCTATACAAGCAAAACACCATTGAGCCCAACAATAAGGCAATCATCTTTGTACCAAAGAGGACGTGCCTCTTCACTGGCAACCATACCCATAGCCCAACGTCCCAAGTACGCCCGTTGATCCCTGTGGAATCCAATTGCAGCAGCCACTGAAGTCAGAAAGTTCCTGGGGCTATGACCTGTGAAATGTGACTCCAAACCGTCTGGGAGTAAGAGTGTCCCCGAGTTGGGCGCCCATTCACCAGCCACTCTTCGTGGAACAGGCAAATCGCTCAAAAGCTTGCCAATCAAAGAAGCCAACCCTGAAGGTGAGACAAGCCGTCTCTTGGTAGAACTCCAATCTGAAGAAGGTTCCATGACAAAGTAATCCCTGCGAAATTAAAGGGGTCTGCTTCCGCAAGCGATAGCCAATCCCCAACCAATCAATACCTGTCAATGACACTGTTCTGAACACATGCACTGATACCTCCTTCTGCACCTTGTCAGGACCAGAAGTCTTCGACTTTCCCAACACCATGCGCAGCCCGTAGTTCGAAAGTGTTGTCCTGTGGGGCAAAGCACACTGAACATCATCACATCTCATGGACCCCCATATCATAACCAATGTAACCCACGCCAAAGCCCTGGAAAACACCTGTTGTGACTCATCTCCAATAACCAGTTCCAATGCCAACAACATTGCAATCGTGTACATCTCCGCTGACTTGGTGGGAGGTGCATCTGCTGCGATCTCAGCCGTCCACGCCTTCACATGTGATCTCCAGAGCTCCTCACTTGACAGACGCTCACCTTCTGGTACGCGTCCCAACTGCTCAATCAAACAAAACGCAATGTGAAGTCTAAATCCGGCCAAGCCCCATCTGCCATTCTATCTGACATTATTATATATGTATATATAATCGTGCGTATAACGGGTTACGTCGCACGCCAGGGGTATAAGTAGAAACTGAACCAACTATCCATATATTAAAACGCGTAAGTGAAAACTGCAGCACTGAAATAAAACTGGTACAAGCACAGCAAACGGATGGATGGTAAACTGCCGCTCATTCTTTTTCTCCTGCCGACGTGCTGGGGAATCTCGGTCGCAATTGGAAAGGTGCAACGTGTTGCTCCAACCCACCAAGGCATTTTTGGAACTGCCTCGTTTTGTTTTGGGTTTTCCTTGTGGACCTTTCGAGTTTTGAATCTTTGATCTCGAAAGTTATTGACCCACAGCATAGCTTGGTTTTGGTAGCCATGCTTTCTTGGTTAGTTGCCCCCTTGGGTGGGATGCGAATGCATCAAGAGGGTGGGCTCAGAAATTGAAACCCTTGAGGTTGGATAGCTACACGTATAACATAGTGAGACATGAACCCCTGATGATGACAAACTTCAACTGCACTTGTGAGAAAATGTGAGTTGTTGTTTTGATCTTTGTCCATCATTTGGGTTTGTGTGAAAGTAAATAAAACAGTTGTTGGATTTGTTGTTTCAGCTTGTTTGTTTTTCCAGTGTTTGCCGCAGAGCTTACGCTAAGTATATATATGGATAGCAGGGTCTACTTGTTTATATGCGTTGTGCGGTTACGCTTGTTCCCCAAAGCAGAAGGGGCTTACGCTTCAAAACTACGCTGCCCTGCTTTAGACATTGCAATCACTACGTGAAAGCACTCGTCTAAATCCGGCCAAGCCCCATCTGCCATTCTATCTGACATTATTATATATGTATATATAATCGTGCGTATAACGGGTTACGTCGCACGCCAGGGGTATAAGTAGAAACTGAACCAACTATCCATATATTAAAACGCGTAAGTGAAAACTGCAGCACTGAAATAAAACTGGTACAAGCACAGCAAACGGATGGATGGTAAACTGCCGCTCATTCTTTTTCTCCTGCCGGCGTGCTGGGGAATCTCGGTCGCAATTGGAAAGGTGCAACGTGTTGCTCCAACCCACCAAGGCATTTTTGGAACTGCCTCGTTTTGTTTTGGGTTTTCCTTGTGGACCTTTCGAGTTTTGAATCTTTGATCTCGAAAGTTATTGACCCACAGCATAGCTTGGTTTTGGTAGCCATGCTTTCTTGGTTAGTTGCCCCTTCCTTTAAGAAAGCTCCAAGGTTTGCCGACGTAGGTGTTGTGGGCCCCCTAGTCAAGGAAAAGGTCCGGAATCACCTCAAGCAAGTTCTGGGATAGAGCTTTTATTGCGTCCAAGATTTTTGGTGACCAGCTTTATCGGCGTTAGCTCGTGAGTGGCTTTATAGAGCTGCGCTGCGGCTTGGCACTGTTTTCTTGATGGCTTGTCTGCCGGATTTGAGTACGAACATACCCGCTCTATCCAAACGATTGCCGGATGGCTGATTTCGATTTGCTGGATCACTCTGGCCATTGCCGTGAGAGATGGAGATTGGGCTGCCCCTTTGCTGGCTGCAAATCTGGCAGCTTCGTTATCAACCCATGCAATTACCCCTCTGTTGTGAAAGAGGTGTCTGTACTCGCATCGAGCTGCCAGGTATGCGTAGAGTTCAATTTGGCAAATGATTTGAGATCCTACTTCTTCTGTCCAAAGGTGGACCATTGAGTCGGGCACATCAACCTCCCTGACGACAATGTCTCTGGAGTCAGGGTTGTAAAGTAGCATCCCTGCGGTGGCTTTTTGATCCTCCCAAGCTCCATCGGTGAAGAGCAGGAAAGGTTGTTTCATTGCCCCTGCTGAGAAATGCCTGGGAGGCAGTGAAGTAAGAATATACTCCGTCAGGTCGCAGAGCTGGACTAGCCTCTTAGTTGAGTGTGAACCTTGGGACGTGCTCAGGGCGTCGAACTGACCAAGCACAAACCTTAGTGATTTTGAGGTGAAGAACCCTTGGGCAAAGTTCAAGTGACCTTGAATCTCGGCTGCTTGGTTTCGAGTCACACTGCCCTGCTCTTTCAACTTGCGCAGCATCTGGATTATCTTTGGCACGCGCCCCTCTTTGTTGGCTAAAACAAAACTACCTAGGTGAAGCTCTTTCAGTTTTATTGTCACCCCCAAGGCTGCAAACTCGTTGGCGAAGTCTGTGGCCTTCACCCCCACTTGCGCATGGTCCCAGCCCAAAAGGTTTAAGACCAGGCTCATGGATTTGGAAACTAAGCTGGCTCCAAACTGCGAGCTGAGGGCAGGGAAATCATCATAGAAGCAGGTGCAAACCACATGTAAAAAGCTGCATAATATATGGTGTATGGACCTGCTGATCCTATTGAAGGTGTAAACTGCTGAGGTCGCTCCAAACGGCAGTCGGGAGGTGGTGTAGTACATCCACTGGTTTTCATGGAAGTAGCCCAAGACGCATAAGGCCTGTGCCTCCGGACAAAGCGGTACCTGCTTATAGGCTTTGCTTAGGTCTAAGGTGCGCCCCAACCAATTTTGAGTTCTGGCGACCTCATGGATAGGTCCTCTCAGGTTGGCTGATTCGCTCTGTCCTAAGTCAACCCATCCCGTAGCATGGGCATCCGCTATGGCAAGCAAGGCACATGCTAAGACGTCTATGTCTAGGAGCTGGAGCTTGTTGGTGGTGGTGTATGCGCTATTCAAACCGCTGCGTCTACAATCGTCTATGACTCTAACCTTTGGGTTCTCTGCTGTTCCCTGCTGCAAGGCGAATCTTTTGTTGAAGAGCCAGGCACCTTTGCCAAACTTTTCATCCAGCTGCCTCTCTGTGAAAGGTCCTTCCAGGTGCCCCAGGCTGACTTCTTCCATGGTGGCTGCATGCAAACCTTGAGTATCCATTGCGTGTCCATCTTCAGAGTGCTTAACCTGTAACGCTTTGCGCCTCCAAACGGACGAGGCCAGTAAATCATCAGCTGAGGTCGTGGCCGGTTTCCAGTCGTAAGGAAAAAGGGGGGATGAGTCTGGCTCCCCCGTCAGTTCAGCCCCTCTTCGGACTATCTGGACAATTTCCATGTCCGGAAAGTTGGATGCCTTCAAAAGCGTCTCCCACAGGGCTATCCTTTTGGTGCTATGCACCTTGCTGACGGAAGGTGGACATCCTTCTCTTACCTTGCTCTCTTCTTTCTCCAAGTCTTTTGCCATTTCTTTTATAGTTATCACGGCCCTCATCCTACTCTTTGCTAAGTCAACTGGATCCATGGTCAAGTTGTCAAAGATAGCTGCTTTGAGGGTTTCTGGCAAAACATGCTGAGGTGACATGGGGTGGTCTATTTTGGTGGCCGCCTGCAAAAATTGCTCTGGCTCTTGTTGCACTCCAACCCTGTAGGCCTTTTTGGCCTTCTTTTCTGGCTGTTCAAGGGCTTGCTTTTGGCTCCCGTTGTTCTCTGGCTGTTCAAGGTCCTGCTGTTGGCTCTCGGTGTTTTCCCCCCGTATGTGAGAGGTGAGACATTTGTGATTTGGCTGCGTCGGTGGCTGCATCATTTCCAAAAAACTTGAAAATTCTGGCACCAGAGGGGGCGCCTGCTTGACGTGATGTCCCAGGGTGCGCCTGAAAGTGCTCGAGGGTTTGGCCTGGAGGGGAGGCCTAGGTAGATCCACGGATTCAGCAAGCAAGTCTGCCATGCGTTGGCAAAGTAGATTGGGGTATTCTGCTTCCAGCGCTGTGTCATACTGGAGTGAATTTCCAACTTGGGTGATACCCCACGGCTCGTGGGGATGCTGCTTATCACATTCTGCTGCAAGTTGTGCGTACAAACCTGGTGTGGCCAAAAGACGCGTGTTTTTGGCTCTGCTGCCTCCGTGCATACACATGTGAAAAGTCACTCGGTCCAAACTTTCAAACCATTGCAAAAATTGTGCATCGTTGTATTCTTTTACTAACAATGTTAATACCCCCCAGAGCCTGCTACGCTCAGGGTTCTCGATTGAAATCCTGATGCCATGCTTCCAGCAAATATGCAAAAGGCGCACTCCCCATCGGTAGAGGTCATTGGCTACTTGAACTTTGAGTGCATGGGTACCTGTCAAAGTTGGAAACCCTAACAAGTTGTGCGCATCTCGAAGCGGTGGTGGATCATGAAATTGCGCTCTCAAATGTGCTGGAAGAGGTTTATCCCTTGCACGGCTGCACGTCCCGCAAGGGAGACCCAGGTGTATTGCTGCTGGCTTGGTTTGTACCACCATTGATTCGACCAAAGCTTGGCTTTTTGGATCCTGCAGATTCAAACTGATTGTTGATACAGCCGTCTTATGCGTATTGAATTCATGGCCGACTGGAAAAACTGAAAATCCTCTCTTTTTCATGGCTGCCGAAAGGTGCCCTGATCCAGAGAAAAGCTCCACAAAATAGATTGAATTTACTGTGCACGGTGAAACTGGCTGCGCTGTCGGGTTTCAGATCGAAGTGCGCTCCACGGCGGAGTGATTTTTGTGACATTGTGCTTTCCAGCACACATGGTATCCATATTTGCATCGCTTGCCGGGCTTCACGTTTCCTTTGCAAGTCCCTATGTTGTATTTCATGCAAATAGGCTTCTGCTGCTCTCCAAACTTGATCTCGCAATTGTCTGGTATGTGAATCTTTCCTTTAGCCTTGCCCTTGCCTTTCCCTTTGAAATTCTTGTTCTCAAAGTCCTTGGTGACGGGCTTCGTTGGTGCCCCTGCTGCATTGGGCTGGGGCTTCTGCGTTGAAGCTCCGGTTGTTGTGGAAGGCATTGGCATGATGTGATACTGAATCTCTGGGTGAAGCGACCATTTTTCAATGGCCTCATCGACTGGCTTACGCAGCCCATTGCCCTGCACAACCGATCTCGTTTCTTCTGCCACTTTCAGCCAAAGGGCCTTATCAGCCCGCAAGAGTTGA